CAGTTGATAATAGGAGACTGGTTATAAGGTTGTTCTGCTCTTTCACTCACCTGGGTTGCTGGAGTTGATAATGAGGCGGCAGGTGCCCAAGAGAATTCATTGCCTCAGCCCATGCTATTTCATTCCTCTCTCTGGCTCGCTCAGTATTCCCCATGGGGCTGGTTCTATGGTCGTTCTGCATGCAAGGGTGCCCATGTGGTTAGGCACCACTGGGAATATGGGGCGGAGAAGCCAGAAAGCCTTACTTTTTTTTTTTTTAAGATTTATTTTTTTATTTGAAAGTCAGAATTACACAGAGAGAGGAGAGGCAGAGAGAGAGAGAGAGAGAGAGAGAGGTCTTCCATTTGGTGGTTCACTCCCCAATATGCCACAATGCCCGAAGCTGCACTGATCCAAAGCCAGGAGCTAGGAGCTTCCTCCAGGTCTTCCCATGTGGATGCAGGGGCCCAAGGACTTGGATCATCTACTGCTTTCCCAGGCCATAGCAGAGAGCTGGATTGAAGTGGAACAGCCGGGACTCAAACTGGGGCCCATATGGGATGCCGGCGCTTCAGGCCAGGGTGTTAACCCACTGCACCACAGCGCCAGCTCCCCAAAAAGCTTTACTTCTTAGGAGTTGTGATCAGACTGTTGCTGGTGATGCCTGTAGTTATGCAGATGTTATTCCCACCACTGAGGTACAGTTTTCTTCTCTCTTTCTGTCTGGGGTCCCTAAGCCCTCTGCCTTATCCCTTTCAGCCTTGGTTCTATTCTTATGTCTAATTGATTCCCTAACTCTCAGCTCTGTGCTGGGTTTAAATGGAGTTTTCTTCCTTGCCTCAGGCTGCAGTACCTACCTCTCCCTAATGGCATTCCTGCTGTCCCCGCCTATCCTGCCCAGAGCCCACCCTAACTTCTAAACTTTAAGCTCCTTGTCCTGAAGACCTACGGCTTTGCAGTCTCCCCTAATTCTTTCAGCTCAGCCTCCTCCAGTTCAGGGATTTCAAACAGTTCAATTCTTCCTTCCCATGTTCTTTTAGGTTGCTGAGAGTTGGGACTGTGTCCTGGCCATGGGGGTGAAGTTACAGCTTGGCCAGAGTGAGGAAAAGGGAAACACTTCCATGTTTTCATCTTAACCTCCCACTTTCATACTGCAATGCAAAGGAGTCAGGAAAGACTGCTCTTTTCAAAGTCTGAATCTTGTTCAGAGATCTTTTTTAATTTTTTTTTTTTTATCTTTTGACAGGCAGAGTGGACAGTGAGAGAGAGAGAGAGAAAGGTCTTCCTTTTGCCGTTGGTTCACTCTCCAATGGCTGCCGCGGCCGGCGCGCCGCGGCTGGCACGCTGCAGCCGGTGCACCACGCTGATCTGAAGGCAGGAGCCAGGTGCTTCTCCTGGTCTCCCATGGGGTGCAGGGCCCAAGTACTTGGGCCACCCTCCACTGCCTTCCTGGGCCACAGCAGAGAGCTGGCCTGGAAGAGGGGCAACCGGGACAGAATCCGGCGCCCCAACTGGAACTAGAACCCTGTGTGCCGGCGCTGCAAGGCAGAGGATTAGCCTGGCCATTGTTCAGAGATCTTTAAAGGAGATCAGGCTGTGGGTAGAAAGGCATATTATTTGTCTATACTTGCATAACAAATAACAAAACCTAGAGGCTTAAAACAACAAACATTTGTTATCTCACATTTTTTGTTGGTCAGAAATTCAGAAGAAGCTAATTGGGTAATTCTGGCACAGGATCTCTTGAGGTCACAGTCATTGCAGTAGTTGACTGGCCTAGAGGATCCACAACCACAACTCACTCATGGGGACCAGCAACGTAGCATAGCAGGTAAAGCCATGGCCTGCAGCACTGGCTCCCATATGGGCTCCAGTTCGAGACCTGGTTGCTCCACTTCCAATCCAGCTCCTGGCTAATGTGCTTGGGGCAGCAGTGGAAGATGGCCCAAGTGCTTGGGCCCCTGCACCCATGTGGGAGACCTGGATGAAGCTCATGGCTCCTGATTCTTGGTTTTGGCCTGGCCCAGCCCTAAATGTACTCCCCCTCCCCCTGCCCCCACCATCTCTGCCTTTGGCTTGCCCTCTCTTTAACTCTTTCAAATAAATCTTTTTTTTTTTTTTTAAACTCACTCACACTACTGTGAGCAAGAGTACTTCCCTACCCCTAGCCCTTGGCTGAAGGCCTCAGTTCTTCACCACATGGGCCTCTCCTCCTGACATGGCAGTTGGCTCTTCTGAGAGACAAAGATCCAAGGGAGAGCAAAGCAGAGCTATGATGTCTTTTATAGTTAAGCACCAGAAGTGCCATGGCACTCCTTCTGCCATATTCCATTGGTCTCACAGATGAACCCTGCTTAAGTGTGGGGTAGAACTACATGAGAGTATAATTACCAGGAGGGAGGGTCATTGGGGGCTATTTCAGAGACTGGCTACCACAGAGAGAAAGAAGGATTTGGAAAATGAAGAAGAAGTTTTATGACTCCAAGAATGGGGATGAAGGAGATATTAATGGCTTATTATGGGCCAAGCCCTTTATACCAAGTTACCTATTTTAATCCTTTCCACAGTGTTAAGGAATACAAAGCACTGGAGCATAGAAAGGCGGGCATCTGGTGCAGCACTTAGGACAGCCCTTGGAACATGCATCCCGTGTCAGAGTGCCTGGGTCAGATCCCAGCTCCACTCCCTAGTCCAGCTGCCTGTGAACGTCCACCCTAAGAAGCAGCAGGAGATGGCTGAGGTAACCAGGTCCCTGCCACCCACATAGGAGACCTGGATTAGGTTTCTGCCTCCTGACTTTGACCTGGTTGTGGGCATTTGGGGAGTGAAGTAGCAGATGGGAGCTCTCTCTCTGCCTTGTAAGTAAATTCAAAAACAAAGAGAGAGAGACAGAAAAAAAAAAAAAGAATGAAGCATGGAGAAAGTATCCAAAAATCAAATCTGGTAAGCAATGGAGTCAAGATTTGTACATTGTTATGTGTATCAGCAACATCTTACATTTAGTACATACCAAAGAGTGCATTGAAGTGCTATTGAGGATATGAGAATCCTACTTTTAAAATTTTTGTTTGAAAGGAAGAGAGGATTGGTGTTGTGGGACAGTGGGTTAAGCCACTGCCTGCCACACCAGCATCCCATATGGACTCTGGTTCATGTCCCAGTTATTCCACTTCTAATCCAGCTCCCTGCTAATGTGTCTGGAAAAGCATGGAAGATGGCCCAAGTGTTTGGGCCCCTGAACCCTCATTGGAGACCTGAACAGAGTTCCAGGCTCCTGGCTTTGTCCTGGCCCAGTCACAGCCATGGTAGCCACTTGGGGAGTGAGCCAGTGGATGGAAGATCTCTCTTTGCAACTTTCCCTTTCAAATAAATTAAGTAAATCTAAAAAGAGAGAGAGAGAGAAAGAGAGAGAAGAGAAGAAAAAAAAAAAAAAGGAGAGCACATGAGAGAGAGACAGAGATTATCTGATTATCCATCTGCTGGTTTACTTCCAAAATGTTTGCAATAGCCATTGCTGGGCCAGGCTGAAGCTAAGAGTTGGAAACTCAATCGAGGTCTAAGGACTTGAGCTATCACTTGCAGCCTCCCAAGGTGTGCATTAGCAAGAAGGTGGAATAGAGACCAGAGTCAGGACTTAGGGACTCCAATATGAGATGCAGGTGGTGCTCCAAGAGGTGGCTTAACTGCTGTGCTAAATACCCACAACCCTGAGCATCACTAATAGAGGCTGGTGCTGTGGTACAGTGGATTAAAGTGCTGCCTGTGCTGCTGGTTCGAGCCCTGGCTCCTCCACTTCCAGTCCCACTCCCTGTTAATGTGCTTGGGAAAAGCAGCTGAAGATGGCCCAAGTGCTTGGGCCCTTGCACCCACATGGTAGACCTGGAAGAAGCTCCTGGCTCCTGGGTTCCACCTGGCCCAGCCCCTGCCTTTGTGGCCACTTGGGGAGTGAACCAGCTAATGGAAGCTCTCTTTCTTTCTCTCTGTAACTTACCTTTCAAATAAAATAATCCTTTTTTTTTTTTTAAAGTACTAATAAACTAGTTCAGGTGGTACTTGGGTATGGCAGAAATTGTGAGGATTGGAGATGACTGAGGTTTACTGCTTCCTGTCAGGTGTATGCTGAAGAGAAAGTGAGTTTGAAGCTCTAGCTTCAACTACGTTCTGCTGCGGGCACTGGCTGGAATCACAAAATTTACATTCAGTCCTTTCGTGTTCTTTCCTAGGCATTTCTCCTTTATCCATTGATTTCTTCAGGTTTGGTGTGGAATCTTGTAAACACATGAATAGCGCTGGGAGTAAACATGTGCTTAGATTTAGCTTCCAGTCACAGTCAACACATAAACCACGAGTGCCTCCTGGGGTTAGTGCAGTGGGAAAACATCCAGAGAGAGTGATCACAGCATGTGCATGCCCCAACCTCAGCCCTTGAGTTAACTTCATAGTCTGTGACTCCGGAGGCCCGAAATAACTTCCACGCTACTTTCACACCGAAAGTTTCTGCGGGGCAATGAGCAGGACCAGGGTTTTAAGGCACAGCAGATGTGGCTGCGATTTTCTATAATAGAAAGGCCTGGGAGAAGACAATGTGGTTGGAAGGGGATTTCTCAAGTCGCATTTTACACCGCCTGTGAACATCTCAAATGTCAAAAAGGTGGCTGGGTGTAGAAAGTTTACAGCAAGGCTAAATTTAGTCCCAGAGTTCTGATAACCGAAGCGGCCGAAGCACCTCGGCTCCGCGAATCGCGCCCATTCTTCACTCCTCGTTCCTTTAGGATGAGTTTTCCTGTACTCTAAGCTGTCCCCGTATGAGGTCACTCTGCCCGGTCACGTGCTCGGTCTCGCGGGAGCGCCACATCGCCAGCCGCACCCCTCCACCCCCACCCAGCCCACGTGACTCGGCCTACTTTCTCCAGCGCCGGCCCAACGCCTCGCCGGGAAGCCCCGCCCCCACGCTGCGCGCTCCGCCTGCGAACCTCCGCCCCATACCCACCCCAGCTCCAGCGTGGCCCGCGGCCCCACGTGCTTCTTCTTGCCCAATGGGAGTCGGCGCCCGAGCGTGGAGGGGCGGGGAGCACAGGGGAAACTTGGTTACGTTGCGAGAAGGGGGCGGGGCCTGCAACGTCGGAGAGAACGAGGGGACGCAACGGAGGCAGGCCGGAGCCGCTGCCGTCGCCATGACCCGTGAGCACCGAGACCCCTTCCCCTTTCCCCTTTCTTTCGGTCCACATTGAAGGCGACCGCCGAATCGCTCGCCGTGGCCTCCCCTTAGCTTTCCCAGCGAGGCCTTTCCCTGGGAGCGCCCTTTAGTTGTCCTCCTACCCGGGGCCCGGAAATCGAGTCCTTTGGCCACAGTCTCTTCACGAGACCCTCCCGTTAGGAGTAGGCCCGTCCCGATCTTCTGCGGTGTGAGAAGCTCTGAGCCTCTTGTAGGCCCAGAGCCTCCCGTCCCCGAATCCAGCCCATCCCCCCACAGGGGCCAGCACCGTGCCCACATCTCGCCACCACCTGTCTGGGTGCCCACGCCGCCCCACTCAGAACTCCTCCAGCAGGCTTCTCGGAACAGGCCTCCCCCCACCCGGCAGTTTGACCCGCCCGGTGGGTGGCATCTTAGCCACTCTGGCCCCTTTCCCATCGAGCCCAGCACCCGAAGCCGTGAAGTGGGCCTGTGTCGGGGCCCGGGGAATGGACATCCGGCGACGGGGAGAAGGGTCGCCGTGCGTGGCCAGAGCGGCCTCCCCCCTCACCTTTGCTTTCTTTCTTTAGGCGGTAACCAGCGTGAACTCGCCCGCCAGAAGAATATGAAAAAGCAGAGCGACTCGGTTAAGGGAAAGCGCCGAGATGACGGGCTGTCTGCTGCCGCCCGCAAGCAGAGGTAGCCCCAGGGAGGGGAGGGGACGGGGAGACCTGGGTTAGACCAAGGGTTGTACCAGGAAAGAGAGCTACCTCAGGGCTTGAATCTGGACTTGTCTTGAGGGGCAGAGTGCATTGCTTCCTGTAGGGTTTTATTTCCTGCCCGCTCTCCCTCCAAATTGTTAGCTCATAGCCTTACAGGAAGGGCATTGGGGCGGGTGCCGGCCACAGTCTTGATTTGTCAATGCCCCTGGATCTGACCTTAAAGGGCAAGGGCAGGGAGCGTCACATTTCAAATACAGTTGTTATTATGACTGCCCGATACTTTTGGCCCTCCTTGCTGTTCCTTTTTTGTCCCTTCTCCCAACCTCTCACTCGTGTGGCTGGGTGTGGTACTCCGCACAGAATAGAGAGCCTTTGGTCTGTGTGGCTAGACTTCTGACCCCTTGGGCAACAGCCAGATGGAGTCTGATTGCCTTTTGAGCTTCAGCTCTGTTCCTCTTGTTCTCCTAGGGTGGGAATTATAGCAGCCCCACGCTGAACTTTGTCCCATCCACTTCCATCTTGTCCTTTGTGCCCTTCATCCCCCTGCATCTTGTCCTTTTTGCCCTCTGGTACCTCCCAGTGCCCCATCATCTCTACCCCCAGGGACTCGGAGATCATGCAGCAGAAGCAGAAAAAGGCAAACGAGAAGAAGGAGGAACCCAAGTAGCTTTGTGGCTTCGTGTCCAACCCTCTTGCCCTTCGCCTGTGTGCCTGGAGCCAGTCCCACCATGCTCGCGTTTCCTCCTGTAGTGCTCACAGGTCCCAGCACCGATGGCATTCCCTTTGCCCTGAGTCTGCAGCGGGTCCCTTTTGTGCTTCCTTCCCCTCAGGTAGCCTCTCTCCCCCTGGGCCACTCCTGGGGGTGAGAGGGTTACCTCTTCCCAGTGTTTTTTATTCCTGTGGGGCACACCCCAAAGTATTAAAAGTAGCTTTGTAATTCCTTGAGCGCCTGGTTTGAATGGGGATTTGGGGGGATGGGGATGGAGGAATGACTGCCCTTTCCCACCAAAGGGGGGGAGCTCTTTAGATTCCTAAAGAGGTTGTGGATATGTAGACTTAAGTGAGACTTTGCAGAAAAAGCCTTTATTGTACTATGTCTGCCAAACAAGTATCAGATATATGTGATGGAGGAGTCCTTTAAGAACCATAGAGACTTCTTTTCTGTGATTTTTGTCCGCCACCCAGACCTCGAACACCAGCCCAACGAAGGAGTTGAAGGCCTAAGAGGTGAGGGAAGGCTCCAAGACCTGAGTTTATACGTCACTTCCCCATCTTCCTCTGTTCGCTTGCAAGTTGGCCAAATAATCCTGCTGCTCTCAAGTGTTCCCATTCTCTTCTGTCAGTCCTTGTGGAATGTGGGTGGTTTCTGCCTTGCCACTTAACCCTTGACCTCAAGATCAGGATTAAAACCTGAGGTAGCCTCTGTGCTTCTTTCTTCCTATGCCCTGGTTGGTTCTGGGCTTATATTCCTGTGCCCAGGGCTGCACTGCTTTTCTTTTTTTAATCCCCGAGGGCACAGCCAAGTCTTTCAGTCCCTGTTCTTTCCTCAAGAGCCAGGAAAGGGTTGGTGCCACGCTGTCTACTGCATATCAGTAGTGGTTCTTGAGCTACTGATTTGGGAGTTAGGCTCCTGAGCTGGGATGAACATATGGTAGCTCTATTGACGGCATGCATGGCTACTTGTTCCAGTTCAGACATGGTATTGGCTTAAGCCCAGAGGGAGATGACTCTCCATTGTGTCCTTGTGGCACCAAGCTGGGCTGGACACTTATCCTGAGCCAAGAGTAGGGGTGCAACCTCAGGGGAACCAGAGTTTGTCAGGACATAGATCAGAGGCTTTGTTATCTGGTGACACTGATCTGATGGCATTGTCGCCTGAAGATAGGGGATTGGGAGTCCAGGGTGGGAGACCAGCAGAGTGGTGCCAGTAACAGCCCCACATAGAGGAGTACACAGGCCCAACATGAGGCGACTTTGACCCAGAAGGTAGCCCAGCTACCCTTGGTGAAGGTCTTTTCCAGTTCTGCTCCCTCATAGCTGTGGAACCAAAGCCTTTGGTTAAAGAATATACAGGACCTAAGCTTTTAGATTGTCCTGCCTCCCCCACAAAAGATTACCGTGGACCCATGTGTGTCTCTTGGGAATCCTTTGGAATAGGTCTGAATTACTTTCCCCTAAACTAGCTCAGTTTTCAGGCGAGTGGCTCAGCCCACTTTTATCATACCTGAACCAGTTGGTGAGAGTAACCATGACGTAGAGTGAGGCAAGGAAGAATACGAAATGAAAGGCAGAATAGCTGTAGGAGAGGTGCTGGGCTTGCACTGGAGGAGCCAGAGGGGTTTCTTGGTCATCTTGCTTGACAGTCCCACCCCTTTGCCCTACAGAGAGGAAGGGCTGATGGGATCAGTGCTGTTGAAATGCCTCTTTCCCCACCCAGCTACTTTGTGAAGGCTCTTCAGGGCTTTTGGCACTTCACAGAGCTGCCATTTTTTAGGGCTCCTCACTAGGTAACTCACCATCTTCTGGCTCCACTGTTTCAGGACAGCAGAAACAGAGTGATGGCTTCTGCAAGACAGAAAGTGTCTTATTTGGAATGGCTCTAAAAGAATATGAGGGTGTTAATCTAAGAAACTCACCCCACTCCCCACGAAGAGATTTGTCTAGTGTAAAAGGTGGAGGCACATCTGGGTTCAAATTCTAGCTTCAGCACATAACTGGCTATGCAAACTTTGGTAAGATGTTTTAATATTTTGTGCCTCAATTTCTCCATTTGTAAAATGGAGCAAATAACCTACCTCACAGGGTTGTTGTGGGGATTAAATTAAATGAGACTGTGTATGTAAATTATCTAGCACAGTGCCAAGCACATTGTGGGTACTCAATAAAAGGTAACAGCAGCTAGAATCTGAGCATTCTGGGTGGAGGTTGGTAGGATGTGTGCATGTGTGTGTGTCTGTGTGTGGTGGGGGAGGGTCCTGGGGCCATAGAGCTTTGAATCCTCACCTGGAACTCATGGCTGTAAACCTTGATGATCCACAAGGGCCCAAATACCTCAGCCAGGTAGGAAGCTTCATTGCTGAGAAAGAAGAGAATTAAACTGGTTCGTTCACATAGCTGGAAGGATTGTCTGGGGGCATGTACTGCCAGCTGGTCCATATGGGAACTCTGGGGAGGATACTGTGCTCCTTGAGCAAGGACTTAGAAATCTAAATTTGTTCATATAGGGGCCCTAAAATCTTTGTATGTATTTTAAACTCTCAAGTCTTAGAGTTTGTCCCTGTTTATGAGCAGCGTTTCTCACTCTAGGCTATTTGAAATTTTACTTTTTTGTGGTGGTAGTAGTGGTTGTAAAGTTCCAATAAACCATGTTCCTAGACACTCTTCTGACCATCCCTCCTGGGCATCCTCCTCCCTTTTCTCACACCTCTTTCTCCTTGACACTTTTACATACCAAGCGAAAAGCACGCAAGCATACATAATGCCAGCACTTAACACTGCTAGTGAGGTATCTGGTGTTTGGGGTTCCATTCCACTCAAGCCAGGCAGGCACAGGGTGAGATTTTGTCCTTGAAGGATTACTGTGAAGGGGGAACAGAATAAGAGCACGGAGCTGGGTATTTGGCAGGAACAAGAAGATCTTAGCACAGAGCAGTTCAGGTCCTGTCTCTTACCTCTCTCTGGAGGACGACTGGACAGCGCAGAGAAGGTCAGATACATGATATAGCAGCTGATGATAGAGGCTTGTAGAAGGCCAGAGCGGGGTTGCTCTGAGAATGGAGATCACTGCTGTAGCTTACAAGATGGTCATTTTCTCCCTTCCTACCCCCACCTGCTTTTCTGACTCCCCACCCACTAGGGGAAAAACAGATTCTTCCATCAGACACTGGGAGGTTATTGAAATTTGCTGTACTAGAAGCCCCCACAAGTCTGAATGTTTTATGGCATGTACCCACTGAGGCGGGTGCAAGGAGCGATGGAGAGGAAGGTGAGTAGGCCACAGAAGCAAAGGTGCAGACTAAGCAGCATCTTGTTGAGCAGGCAGCCAGCTGGGTGTGTGTAATGGTGGAATAAGAACACAGCTCCCACGCCGGCCATGCTGTAGAATCCTAGGGTAGTCAGCAGCACAGCTAGGAACCAGCTGCAGTGTTGGGCTGCACCTGCCTGCCTAAGGGTGGGAGATGGACAAGGTTTGGTGTTTCCGCTTTGTTTTTGCCATTTACCAACTCTTCCCCTTGTCCCAGAAGATTGTGTGACTATTCCCATCCCAGTTGGCCCAGAGTTACCATGATTCCTGAGCTCTCTGATGCTGTTCAGTGGGAAGCTACGGGACCAGTGACCTGCATGTCCATTGCCCATCCCTCTGCATCGGGCAGTGCCAGAGAGCCTCCTCAGGAAGAACTTTTTGGATTATGTACCCTCTTACCAGTTCTTGTTCCAGGAATGGGCAAAGGCTGTGATAAGCACCAACTGGAGTAGGATGAATGTGAAGCCTCCACAGATGCCAATGTAATGCCAGGCTGTGAATTGGGCAACAGTGGGAAAATGTAGCTGTGTCATGTCCTTACTCTTCCTACCCACTCTATCTTAGAGAACATGCTGGCCTACTCCCTTGGATCAGGGTGTGAAATGGAGAGTACCTGGGAAGAGGTGCTCATCAGGAATGCAGAAGGCAACAGCACAGAGGCCTAACAGGAACAGCAGTTTGAGGAGCCAGAAGCTGGTTAGGGAAAGAGAACCTAGCTCAGGAGAAAAGGCAAAGGAGACAGCAAAAATACACTGAAAACAGCAGAGTGAACAGTATAGGAAAAGAGGAACCATTCTCAAGTGCGAGCGACTGGGAATATGCCCATTGCACCCTATGCCACCCTACAGCAAATTCTGACTCAAAGATACCTGAATAACATCTGTTTAGTATTTTATAGTTTATACAAAGGGTTTGCATACAATAACTCTACTGTTATCTCCACCTAGAGACTAGAAGGTCAAAGAGGGTAAGTGTCTGGCTCATAGTCACACAGCAGAGGCAGGGATATAAAACCTGTTTTGTCTTCACGGTGCTATTACTTCAGCTTGGAATTTCCTTTACCCAGCCTGTATGTCTACTTTCCTTTTTGTCCCCTCCCTGCCCAAAGAGTACACACAAACCTATTATGCAGCTGTGCCCGTGGACTGGTGGGGGAGTGGAGGTGGACCAGTAAGACCGCCTGCAGCAGGTGGAACATGGCAGTTCCTGCACATACCCGGTACACAGCCCCAGAGCCACTGAGCACTGGACAGTCAGTGTAGCCAAAGAGGTGGGCACACAGCCCCGCTGGCATCTGGATCTGGAGGGAGTGTGTGTGAGAAACAGAAGGGCAAGTCATCATGTATGGATAGGTACGTATTTCTTACTGGTATGTTCACTCATCTGCCCCCAACCTGAGCCTCTTGTATATCTCAGGCTTTCTCCTTTTATCCTTCCCCACTTTGCAACCCCATCCCCTCCCACTTACCCCATGTTCACTGCCCCAGACCCTTTCTACTACCGTCCTTGATAGCAGGAGGCAGCAGACTGCTGAGGCCCCCAAATGGAGGAGGATGTAGAACAGGCGGCTACAGGTAGAGTCTGTTAGAGTCGGCCAGCCAGGGTGGCAGCAGCTGGAACTAGGAACAGCCCCACAGCAGGACACCTGGGGACAGAGCAGATACAGGCTGCAAGGTGGAGACTGCTGAGGAAGGGGGTAGATTAATTTATGTGTGAGGGGAACCCTTAAGGTTGAATTCTGAAATCCCCCCGTTTTTCCAAGATCTTTGAGACTCCTTAGACAAACATCTGGGGCTGGGAAGAGGGAGTTTACTGAGGCAAAAAAAACAGGCATTACAAGAGGAAAAGCCTGTCATTTTTTATTGGCCTCCACAGGTTTTCTTTCTCCGCTTCAGCCACCCTTACACTTAACAGTGTTTCATATAGCCCTTGTTTAAGGAAGCTTTCCTTGTCTGTCTTGCCAAGCACCCTCTCACCTGGGAGAAGTGGGTTTTCACTGTGACATTGCCGACTCCGCTGCGCTGCTGCGCCAGGTCCAGGGAGGTGCTGGGGCCTTTGTCAGCCCTTGGACCCATCGTCTTTGTCCTTGGGATTAGGCCCAGGTCCTCCAGATGAAAAGAAGGTAGATGAGAAAGTAGCAGCAGCTTGTCTTCATCCTATTGGCCTGCTGCTTAGCTGGGGCTGAACTCCCGGTCTAAGGCAGCATGGGGACATCAGGAAAAGAACACTGCTCTCCAGGATGTGGTAAATGCAAATACCCCTGTGAAAGTGCTTCCTTGTCAGGGCCTCGCCCACTTAGGCAGTTCTCCCCAGATTAGGGAGCCTCCTGCGGATTAGCATTCTTAATTGGTTTAGGATTAGACCTCATCCAACCTGGGCAAACGGTTCCCTGGGGCAAGGGAGGAGGAGAGGAACTGTTTCTGCGCTAAGGGAGAAAGACGAAAAGCTATCGGGTTGGGCTGGTTTGGAGCGGTGATGCGTTACATCTGGGGTGAAGCCTTGCTAAAAACACTGCTACACGTCTGAAAGGAAGTCTGAGAAGGGAAACGCCTTCCCCGCTGAAGCTTCTAGAACGGCAGCATAAAGAAGGTGTGGCCCAGCGCCAGCCCCGCCTCCCCTGGGCGGAAGTCGCTGGTTAGGTACCGGAAGCCGTGAGGCGTGGCTGGTCGGCGGCGCGGTGGAGTAGATATGGCGACCGAGGGGGACGTGGAGCTGGAATTAGAGACTGAGACCAGCGGCCCGGAGAGGCCTCCTGAGAAGCCACGCAAGCATGACAGTGGAGCGGCGGACCTGGAGCGGGTCACCGACTATGCGGAAGAGAAGGAGATCCAGAGTTCCAATTTGGAGACGGTGAGGTTGGCCGCGAGTGCGTCTGGGCGGGCTGAGAGCAGAGGGGCTTCTGAGCCGGTAGCTGGAAGCCCGCGCAGACGGGCGTCCCGATCCCGATGGCGGGAGGAGCCAGTAGGGTAGAGGATAGTGCCAGGGGAAGCGGAGGTCACCGGAGCCCGCCTCTTGCCAAGGGGAGCTTGACGGATACTAATCTTAGGTGGAGAAGTAACACAATTGAATAAAACGTGGTGCTTGGATCCCAATTGCGCTGGCCATCAAGCATACATCCTGTGTCGCTTGTTACTGGGTTTTTTTTTTTTTTTTTTTGACAGGCAGAGTGGACAGTGAGAGAGAGAGACAGAGAGAGAAAGGTCTTCCTTTGCCGCTGGTTCACCCTCCAATGGCCGCCGCTGCAGCCGGCGCACCGCGCTGATCCTGGCAGGAGCCAGGAGCCAGGTGCTTTTCCTGGTCTCCCATGGGGTGCAGGGCCCAAGCACCTGGGCCATCCTCCACTGCACTCCCTGGCCATAGCAGAGAGCTGGCCTGGAAGAGGGGCAACCGGGACAGAATCCGGCGCCCCAACCGGGACTAGAACCCGGTGTGCCGGCGCCGCAAGGTGGAGGATTAGCCTATTGAGCCACGGCGCCGGCTTGTTACTGGGTTTTTAAAAAGGTCACTGGGGAGTGTGGGTAGCGAAGTAGTAACAAGACCTCTTTCCCATAGGCCATGTCAGTCATTGGAGACAGACGGTCCCGGGAGCAGAAGGCTAAACAAGAGCGGTAAGTGTTGAGTGCACAGCCGGGCAGCATTACCAGTTCCGTCCTCAGACATTAAAGACCATTGCTATGTCTTTGTACCGTGCTTCAAGTCTACCACCAATTCCTGCAGACCTAGAGATTTTTTGTTAATGGAAGAAAGGTGTCCTGGCCAACACCTGCCTGCCAGAAGCCTCTTAGAGGGAAGGAATGGCAGGAATGGTGGGAGTCATTTTATATTGTCACCCTGTTTTTCAAGATCCATTTATCTGCGGATTCCAGCTGATAATTCTCCCTACGAGTTTATGGTGGAAGTAGAGACTAACACACTTAAATATTTGCAGGGAGAAGGAACTGGCTAAAGTCACAATCAAGAAGGAAGATTTGGAGCTGATAGTGAGTAGTAATGCCTAACTAGTTTAGGGCAGGGAAGGTGGTTCTGCCTAATTTGGGCTGTTTCCTGCAACTAGTAGAAATCGGTCAGCATGTCTGGTGGCACATTAATGCCAGGGAGGAGACGTGGGTAACATGATCTATCCTTTTCCGGCAGATGACCGAGATGGAGATCTCTCGAGCAGCAGCAGAACGGAGCTTGCGGGAACACATGGGCAATGTGGTCGAGGCTCTTATTGCCCTAACCAACTGATCAGTGCTTTCTTACCCATACTTACTGGCTTAATTTATTGCAATAAAAATGTTTTGGTCTTTATTGCTGTTTTTATCATCTTGGATCAAGTGCATTGTACATCACATTTTGTTGTGGCAAACATATATATGTTGAAATATAAATGAATTTAATGACGCTCCTCCTTCCCCACAACCCAAGAATTGGCATAGAAGAGTTCCTTGTGTTCAGATGCACATAGTAGGTGGCTGGCCAGTCCCATTTATCTGACTAGCAAGCACACAGCGATTACTGTACTCCATGGCATGTGTCTCCAGGACAGCTTATTATTAATAGCTGAAAGGCCAGCACCAGCCTTGTAGCCATTGTGTAGATACAGGTTACCAACTCAGTTCACAGGCCAGTTTAAGTTAGAATTTAGGTATCCCAGGCAGAACCATGGAAAGAAGAGGGGCAGAAAGGCCTGACACAGAATTGATCTATGGGAGATTTGAATTCTGAACTGTAACACATTCTACATTCCATGTACTACCATAGAGAGGACAGTAATTTTAAAGTTGATGAGTGGGGCTGGCTCTGTGGTGCAGCAGGTTAAAGCCCCTGCCTGCAGCACTGACATCCCATATGCACTGGTTCGTTTCCCGCTGCTTTTCTTCCTATCCAGCTCTGCTTATGTGCCTGGGAAAGCAGTGGCCCCTGCACCATGTGGGAGACCCAGAAAAAGCTCCTGGCTGCAGATCAGCTCAGCTCCAACTGTTGTGGCCATTTGGGGAGTGAACCAGTGGATGGAAGACCTATCTACATCTCTCTCTTTGAAATAAATTTAAGTTGATTAGCATTGGTCAAGTCCCATTTGATGTGCTTGTTTCCTCAACTATAATAGGCTGTAGAACTAATGAGCTGGTGAATACACAAGCTTAACTTTGTACCTGCTTCAGAGTAGACACTCAAATGCCAACTCTAAGCACTTTCCAAAATGAGTTTCAAGGCCTTATTTTGGCTCTAGGATAATTCTTAAATTGTATCTCATAAAACAGTGCCTTGTGCATCTTTATTACTTTAATTACACTTGTATTTTCATCCTAGGACATTAAAGTTTTAAGAGTGATTCTTCTAGTGGGGCATTTAAAGGATGTGAAAAGACTTCGCTCTGACAAACCAGTCTTCTCACTGATTAACCCATGACCCCTGGAATTCCTTGTGCATGATGGTTATACAATATTAAATGTGAATTTAACACTAATGTGCTGCTCAGAGAGCCTAGGTGCCTTCACTGATACATGAGTTGGCTATGGAGAACACATTTGTGGTGACTCTGATTCAGTAAGACTGATGTCCCATTTCATGGGTCAACTTTTGTTCTATGTACATCTACAATAAAGACAGGATAACCAAAACATTTGTATTTTTATACATGGAATAAACGTGTTCCATTGAAAGTATCAGTTTCTGAGAACAAAGGGGATGGTTAAAATATGAAACATCCTCTGTTGAATTCCCTGCTTTTACTTATTAGGTAGTTAATATAAGCCTGTGTATTCTGTGTTTGCATCATGATAAAAATCGGTGTGTGACTTTTTATTTGACACACATCAATGGATCAAGAATTACATTCACTTAGAAAAAACTGACTCCAATTAAAAATGGAAAACATTTCAATGAGCTTAGATTTCCTGCTATGTTACTCCCAACACTAAGGTAGAAGAAAGGCATTGTCCACTCCACTCACATGCTCATGTTTCTGACCCAAGCTAAGGGTCTGGAAAAAGAATCTCAGAACAACAGTCCCAAGTAAATATGGGAAACCACAGCAGTGATGAAACCCGAGATTTCTCAGAAATAGTTTCAAATGGGAAGGCTCCAGTACCCACATAGTGCTTTTCTGTGGGATTCTCAGCATGAGTCCAGACCTCAAAAAGCACCTTCAAAGACAGGACTACCTGTTATCACAAGTATGGTAGAAGGTCCAATAGCCTGGATATGCGGGCCATATAAATAATGGGAAAAGCAAACTGAAGACCAGATGCTAAGACTTGTTGTGTCCCATAGGTGGAAGAATTATGTAGTTGAACCCTAAGTAGTTTTCCGTTTCTTGGCAGACGGTCGCTCAAATACATCCCGTACCCCAGCTGCCTTCTGTTTGAAGAACTTGGTGTTCTGGGCACTTTCTTGACCCCATGCTGAATCAAAGGAGGTGGTATCTTGATCCACAAGGTGGGTGTATTTGGTACGGCCAGAGCGTCCAAAGTTCTTGACCTGAGAAGGATGAATGATGAGTTACACGTAACACCAAACATACTACACCTCTGTCCTCAATATATGATCTTTCTCTTATGTTACTAAGGTTCCCCATACCTGCATGACTTTAGGAAGAATGGTTTTGTTGAAATGATCCTCCAGGGTAGGTGCACTGAAATCTCTCTTGTATACTTCTTCATCCTCGTCCTGCAGAAATGAATATAATCAGTTATTTTAGTTCTATTCCCTTTTATTCAAGCCAGAGTTAATATAACAAAGGTTACAGAGATTATTGAGTCATTCTTCAAGGGCTTACACGAGTTACTATAATCTGTGTGCTCATTTACGCACATGCCTTCAACTATGAACAAGCCTCTCAACTCTGAATTTTCTACTGCCTTTTATATTATTTTAACAGATATTCCATTGGGTCTTAACTCATATCTAACTGCATAGGTGGATTTAGCTGGATAGGAAGCACAGAATAGCTGGCTGGGACTGGAATCTGATAAGGGATGTAAGAGCCCCAGGCATGGGTTAACTTACCATGCCACAATGCCCACTGATAAAGGATGTAAGAGCCCCAGGCATGGGTTAACTTACCATGCCACAATGCCCACCGTTGATTTAACTTCTTTGTAAGTAGGCCCAACATTCTCTTAGTTAACATAGTTTCAAAACTGGAGTAATCTTGTGTATATTCAATCAGTTGCCACATCTCATAAACTCTTATCACGTAGTTTTTTTCCCTACCATTAATGTTTCTAGAATACTTTTTTTTTTTTTTTTTTTTTTTTTGACAGGCAGAGTGGACAGTGAGAGAGAGAGACAGAAAGAAAGGTCTTCCTTTACCGGTGGTTCACCCTCTAATGGCCGCTGTGGCCGGCGAACCGCGCTGATCCAATGGCAGGAGCCAGGTACTTCTCCTGGTCTCCCATAGGGTGCAGGGCCCAAGCACCTGGGCCATCCTCCACTGCACTCCCTGGCCACAGCAGAGAGCTGGCGTGGAAGAGGGGCAACCGGGACAGAATCCAGTGCCCCGACCGGGACTAGAACCCGGTGTGCCAGCGCCACAAGGCGGAGGATTAGCCTAATGAGTCACGGTGCCGGCCTAGAATACAATTCTAATTATGTATCTGCCTTGCTCAAAAACATCAATGGTTCTGTAGTAGGTAAGGCCAAATATAAGCCTTAATCTGTTTAGTTCTTTTTGCCACTTCCTTTTATAGCTGATACTTTTCTGCCTCCCCTCCTGCTGGAATGTCTTAACACTGAAAAGTCAAGTCAATCATCTGAAGTGTTACCTTTATACATGTCATTGTTTTCAATCAACCAAATACAACATCTCCCTCTTTAGAAACTGCCAGAGTACCTTCAGTAGACTTAGACCTACTTTTAGATTGTGAGCCTTTTGAGGGGAGGATTTTATATTCTTTGGTAGTGCATAAAAGGATACTTAATGAAACATAGCGAATAGTTTTGAACCAATGTGTCAGATTACAATGCTGTGGCAGAGATTACACACATACATGCTAGAGGTAATAAAAACAGCATCATCTTGGTTTAGGAAGGACCAGTTTTAAAGACAGGACTATTAACAGTTTTTGTGAGATCTTTTCTACTGTGGACTTGAAAGTCCTTCATTTAATCCTAGAAGCCATTTCAATTTTACTCTCCTGGTCCAGAGTTAATATTTGAGTACGTGTACCAAAAGACTGACTTCATATAAACTTTACCTATGTATTTTAGTCAGTAATACACTGGTTCTCTAAGAAGCATGGTTATAAAAGCTATTGAAATGATGAAATAAAGACACTTTATGACTTTCAAAGAGTAGAAGTAATTCTAATCTCTACTAACTATGGAAAACCATTTGTGCTGGAAAATCACATAATAAGCATTTCCTGCTGATCAGTAAGACTAAGAGCCGGCGCCGCGGCTCACTAGGCTAATCCTCCGCCTAGCGGCGCCGGCACACCGGGTTCTAGTCCCGGTCGGGGCGCCGGATTCTGTCCCGGTTGCCCCTCTTCCAAGCCAGCCCTCTGCTGTGGCCAGGGAGTGCAGTGGAGGATGGCCCAGGTGCTTGGGCCCTGCACCCCATGGGAGACCAGGAAAAGCACCTGGCTCCTGGCTCCTGCCATCGGATCAGCGTGGTGTGCGGGCCACAGCGCGCCGGCCGCGGCGGCCATTGGAGGGTGAACCAACGGCAAAGG